GACCCCGAATTTCTCGGGATCATGAGAGGACTCATCCTCACTCTGACCGAATTAGAGGAAAGCGATAAACCTTATCAATTGACACATTGCTCTCCTTAAAAAATGGAACATATCTTATCTACGCAGCCCGAAGATCCCAGAGCTTTTTCGTAAGATCCACGACTACTCCACTATATAAGGACATCGAACCTCAAGGCAAAGGTACGCACGATTATTTGCTCACTAGCACTCTAGCATTCAAGTATTTAGCTCGCATCCATAATATAGTACTGACTTAAGCATCAGAGCGACCTCACCGGGTTAGCCACCATGGGTTCTTTGATCTATTATCTTGCAGCTTGGTCCAACTCGCCATGTAACTAGTGTTTAGATCATCTTCCTGCTAGGAGTATCCAGATCGTGCACCATCACCTGTGTTTGGCAACATTACATTTATGCATTGACAAATGATAGAAAACACATTTCCCAATGTTATATTGATAATAAGATATAAAAGTACATCAATAAAAAAGAAGTAAATTCGCATTCAATTGGACTTTTGATAAAAAAAAGGCATATGCTTTATTGGAATTTGTGTTTGCATCAATTACAACTAAAAATCTGTTTGATAAGAAGGTAAATTTGTAAATACAAAACTAACCCAATTTTACAATATATATGAACTGTTTTACACTCTAAAATTCACACTTATTTGATAAATCTAGAGTGTTCATTAATATAGAAGACCATTTGGATTTGACTGCATGACTAGACATTGGGATTGAAACTTGATCCATGTTTTTGAAAGTGGAAGATTTAAATTTAATGAGATTTAACTCTCATTGTTGACTGGCTAATGACCTTTTAAGTAGGGAGAAATATTTTTATTTGTTGTACAGTTTAAACTATCTTTTTTGAAAGGTTAGATAAAAGCCAAATTCCATTTAACAAGCAGCCCAAGTACAGAATGATTCCCTTGAATGATCCCCTCTCGATAATTTCAGCAATAAACTCCTGAGGGGGAACCCAACATGAAGAGAGAATATTACAAGATAGAGAGAGTTGTGCAGGAGTGTAAGTAGAGAGTTGTGCAAGAGTATGAGCAGCATTATTTGCAGCAGCTTTTGACAGAAGAGATTGATAAAAACTGAGTTGCTAGAGGCCTGCAATTGGGGATAATTGAGTGTGTTCACCATTGAGGATTAGAATCCTCATTTGACAGGGAAAGGACTACATCCATGGCATCAGCTTTTAGCCTTCTAGGCTCATTCTCTAAATATGAAGAGAGAAACATTACTACACTAATATGAAGATGTATCAATCCCTCAAGTTGGTGGATTGGTCTTAGGAATCCGAATTTGTTCCTCACATCAACCTCATAGTGCTTTCAGCATGCATTGAGAACATCTCCTGTATTATTTGATGTTATCATTCATGGAAAAATGTTTTCAAGATGTTTTCAATTCAGGGTTGTAATGTGATGTGAGCTGGTATAAAGCTCATTCTGTGAGGAATAAATCCGATTTCTAATCTTACACGCAATCCCATTATCTAGGTTTAGCGTCATATAAAATAGATAGATCTGTCATTAGACCCTCTACCTTCTATTTCCCTCCCCCTCAACCTGCCATTAGACCCTATACATTTTTTTGAAAAATGTTTTCTCATACCATGCCTTGGAAATCGAGAAAGGTATGGTCTGAGAATATGCCCTATTTACTGTTTTCTTCTTTTTCTATTTTTGCTAACAATAATATGATGATAAGACATTAATAAACGCCAATGTGGCAGTAACAGCAATAGACCAATAATACCAAATAGAAAACACAAAAAAATGTTTTCTGAGAAAATAGCATTGTCTATACGGCACCGAAAACGCCTCTCAAGAAACGGCATTAGTTTCAAACACTGCCTTATATGTCTAAATTCTCTGGAGTCTTATTGGATTGGCCACCTGTTACATCTGACAAATCATATCACTCATATACCCCACTTTATATTGGTGGTTTCTTAACTAACACTAGCTGTTCAATGTTTAAAATTTTAAAATATTAAAAAGTATTTAATAAAACTCCATGAGTGTGTATGATTTTGTTTTTTAAACAAAAGCATATGCCATTTGCAGTTGAACTTGGATATTCCTTTTTTCATAACATTTTCATCCACAAGTATTTAAGAGGAAAGCCCACCACCGATCCTAAACATTTTGTCCACCAGCGAGTGGAAGGATTCTGAGTTGTAATCAAGTTGCAGGCCCACCTCCGATCCAGTGGAAAAGACTCCATTATAACTTGCTATCCAGATTAACCTGTCTTGAGATGGTGTTAAGGATACCTTGGAATTCAGCACCATTTGTTTGATCCCCTCTTCATCTTCAATACTCATTTCAGTAGGAAAGGACCATGAGCCATCCAAGAAGAAGAATTTCATTCAACCTAATGTATGTCAGCAAGATTTATATGCATGGCTGGTTTCATTACACAGAAGTCCTTTGGATGTCACCATTCACTACATTTGCAATGGTCATGATGTCTCGCATCTCATCTCTCTCTCCAAAGGCGAGAATAGCGAGAGTTGAGCTCACAAGTAGAAAATTGATTTGGATCAATGTATCTAAGATAAAAGAAATTTGTCCAACTAGCTAGTGGAATTCTGGATTAAAATTTAAAGCACATTTTTAACTCTATAGGCTTTGATCACTTCAAACAAAGATCGAATACCTAAGCTTCCTTCCAAATAAGGCTTGTAAATCTGCTCCCAAGAATGCCAATTGTATTTGTGGCCATGTTTTGACACTCCCATAGGAAGTACACAAATAATTTATGGATTTTGTGAGTAACTTTCTTAGGCTTCGTTTGAACACTGATGACGTTTTACACTTAATCGTATAATAGGTGACTGTTACATTTTGAAATCATGATAAAAAAGTGTAAAGTTTTACATTGATAAAATTGATAAAATCGATATAGTATTTACATCGATTATCGATGTAAAACTTTATGCTTGATAAAGTTTTACATTGATTTACGATATAAATCTCCACTCCATCCAAACACCAACAAATCTAAATCGGAGTGGAGTTTTACGTGATTATAATTACACGTTCATTCTAAATGCCTACAAAACCAAACCAATGTAAATTTTACATCGGTTCTTAATTTACATGGCTTCCAAATGCAGCCTTGGGGACAACAATTGTGCTCAGAATATGAATAGGCATACTTTGGAGGAAAAGCTCACCTCTTGATGAAAGAAGTTTTGATTTCCGGCCCTTAATTCTTTTCTGAATTTTCTCCACCCAGGGAGTAAAATCTCTAATTCTCAAATTCTTGTCACCAATGGGAGCCCTCCAAGTACATAAAAGGGAATTCTTTCCTCATGAATCCTATATGACTCTAGTAGCTAAATTAATTCTGTAACTAGGACTATTTTTTTTGTTATCATAAAGAAAGATTTATTTTTATTTAGGGTCCGTTTGGTTTGCAGGAATAGGGGTTTGGAATCGGAATTGGAATGGGCTATTCCAATTCCAACTGTTTGGTTGGGCGGAATCGGAATCCCATTCACATTCATGCTGGAATGTCATTCCCCCATTCGAGGGAATGGCCATTCCCTGCCCTTCCCTTGGGAATGGAATCCCATTCCTGCTGATTTTAATTCCCATTCCCATTCCTGTCTGAACCAAACAGATTATTGGAATGGACCATTCCGATTCTAATTCCGATTCCGGAGGATTTCGATTCCAATTCCGACTACGAACCAAACGGACCCTTATTTTTTGACCTGAAGCACTCTCGTAGACAGCCAGAAACTCCATCAAGTTTTCAAGACTACTGCTTCTAAGAGACTAAGGATCCCGTTTGGTTCGTGGTTGAAATCGGAATTGGAAATGGAATCGAAATCATCCGGAATTGGAATCAGAATGGTCTATTTCCATAATCTATTTGGTTTAGACAGGAATGGGAATGAGAATTAAAATCAGCAGGAATGGGATTTCATTCCCAAGAGAAGGGAAAGGAATGACCATTACCTCAAATGGGGGAATGCCATTTTAGCAAGAATGGGAATGGGATTCCGATTCCGCCCAACCAAACAGTTGGAGTCAGAATAGCCCATTCCGATTCTGATTCCATACCCCTATTCCTGCAAACCAAATGGACCCTAAGACCCATAGTAAATATCACCGTGTCATCAGCGAGCAGGCTATGAGTTAGAGATATAGCACCTCTCCAGCAATTTGAAATAGCCAACATCACCATTATTGAAGATAGTTGATAGTCCTGTACTTAAAACTTCCTCTGCTATAATGAAAAGACTTGAAGAGAGAAGGTCTCCTTATCTTAGTCCCTAGAAGATTTAAAATAGCCCACACGACAAGAGAGCCACTAATCAACATAGAAAACCAATAGTTGCACACACCTAACTTGAATAACTCAATCATTAAGTCATTGAATCCGAATTTGTTTAAAACCTTGAAAAGAAATTTCCAGCTTAATCTATCATAGGTTTAGCCATATCAAATTTCAGAATTATATTCCCACCTCTTGTTTTCAACTTTTGGTTCTCAATTTTTGATATCAAAACTATGAAAGTAGTTGTATAATACCTGAGGAGATTTTTAGTAATGAAAATTTCTTTGATTGCCATGCACACATCCATACGTATGATAATATCCCAACTCTGCGTAAAGAAGAAGCCATCGAAGTACCTGGAGCGGAGTCAAGTGGCATTTGATAAAACTTTTTCAGACTTCTGAAATCTGAAAATGTTGCTTTTTAGACGCTAGAGGTGTTTGGAAGCTAAGGTGGCGTTTGATTGTACTTTTCATACGTTTAAATCTGAAAACGTTGCTTTTTAGATGCTACATTCGTTTGGTATGTCATCTTTTTACTAGATTTGAAATCCAATTTCAGATCTTAATTCGTAAGAGGTGGGGCAGGTCCTTAATGCGTTCAGATGTAAATTAGAGGTGTGTAAAAGAGATTAGTATCCTAAAAAAACCTTTAATGACATGGTTTGTTCTTCATATAACTCGAAAATAGGTCATTCGAACCCCCTCTACGACCTGAACAAGCAGCGGCAGTTCTCTCTCTCTCTCTCTCTTGTCTTCCCACCACCGCCACCGCCACTGCAACTTGTAGCAGCGGCAGTTCGGTGATTAATAATAATAAGGGTAAATTACAAAGACCCCCTTGTACTATGGGGTCTGTGACAAAGACCCCCATGTACTTTGTTTTGTGACAAAGACCCTCCTGTACTATGACCGTGAGGCAAAGACCCCCTTTCCTTAGCCTTCCGTTGAAATTCGCCATTGAAAAAAATATTGTTCATCTTCCCTGACCTCATGATACACGGATAATAGCAGCGATGGTAATCCCCTCTACCTCAGATTCCTACACATTTCTGAAAACGTCAAATGGCTTAATTCGTTGATTTTCGGGGTTCTGGCGTCTGCACACGATCCCGTGATGAAGAGGTTACGGACACCGAGTGGTTCTTTCTTGAATCGATGACATAGTCGTTCATCAACAGTAGTGACCATCCTGGTCAGGCTTTCTTTGAATGTTGTTCATCTTCCCTGACCTCACGATACACAAGGACGGTAATCCCCTCTACCTCAGATTCCTTCACATTTCTGAAAAGGTCAAATGGCTTAATTCGTTGATTTCCGAGGTTCTGGCGTCTGCACACGATCCCGTGATGAAGAGGTTACGGACACCGTGTGGTTCTTTCTTGAATCGATGACATAGTCGTTCATCAACAGTAGTGGCCTTCCTGGTCAGGCTTTCTTTGCATCTTAACCGGTGTGGCTTGTTGGGGGTGAGAGGCTTGCAAGATTGTCTTGCGAGCGGGCGAGACAAGGTTAAATTTTTGGCTTGCGGATGATGGTGTGTATACCTTCGGCCAACAGTGTAGTTGAATTGGGTTTGACAGAATTGATTTTTCACAGCTTAGATATGATGAATAAGGTTAGGGTTTTGTTTAATTTCAACAACAATAATTCTAAAATGGGTCCTTGGTCCACGTCTCAGGACAATTAGGGCGAGAACCACCTATCCTTCCTCTGGCTTTTGAATCCGTTATCGATGATTGAAATTAAGGGTTCTCTTTGTACAGCCCCAGCTGCTTCTGCTGCTATTGTTACTCCTACTAATCAAGAGATCCAATAAACCAATTCAGTTCGAGAAGCAAAGCCCAAGTAAAGGAATGCATACCTTAAACTTCTTTCTCACGAATCGAAGCATGTAGGATATATCTAAGGTCCCCAGAACAGAGCAAAGAAATTTAGACAAAATCATTCTTTTTTTTTTAAACAACTCATACAAGCGAAAAGAAATATGTAGAAAGAACTGATTCCCAACATTTTACAGCGATACATCGATCAGATCACTACCCAGAGGGGAAATTTGGTATTTTTGTTCTCAAATTATTCTGAAAAAAATATTCCCCGCTAAACTAAAGCAGTAAAGCCCACCCCCAATAAAAGAATGCTGCTTTGCAGCGACATACAATTTTTCATGTAGGAAAAAAATTAAAAATATTAAAAAAAACATCAAAACCAGAACGAAATTAAGAAGTAAAACAAAACGAAAAGAAATTTTGAAAAAAAAATCTCACACCATTAGTACAATGCTATACAGCTGAGAGAGCAGCAATGAGAGTTCTTTGTACGCCAGTAACGGCTGCACCCGATCGGATCTCCTCGCGGAAACCTGGAGGAGAGGAGAGATGAGTTAGTGGGATCTCCAGAGAAGGTGAATTCTTTGGTGAAAACAAAATTTCTAGAGGAGCAGCTCCTACCCCTGCATTGCCACTCCTCGTCGCCCCAAGGGCTTCCTTCCCAAAAATCTCTATCGGCAATAAAACCTTCGAAACTGCAAAGATGGAAACTGGGTTTTGATAAAAAAACATCTGGGTTACCGATGCCTGAACGATCCCCGTGTCAATCGCCACCGACCCATTAACCCTCATAATATTTAATGTGAATGTCCCAACACCCATGGCTTCCGTCGCTAAAGTAGGTTGCACAAGATTAACAATCGACTCCAGCGAACCCAATGGATAGTAAGAATGTAGAACATGGAACTTCAAGACCACAACTTCATTTTCTTGTCTTCCTTTTCTAACTTTTCTCATGGCGGTATTTCAGAACTAGTAGCTTAGCTCAGGCGGTGGAGAGAGAAGACCCAGGAGAGTCTGAAGACTAGGCGGGAAGAAGAAAGGGGAGGAGAGAAAGGGGAAGGGGAAGGGGAAGAAGAGAGATCGGGGGGTGGAGGGGGGGGGGGAGAGAATAGTTATTACAAGGGTTGTATGGGGATTAAAAAAATATTGCAAACGAATTTCAACGGAAAGTGGTCTTTTGTCTCATGGTCATAGTACGGAAAAAATAATTATTTTTACTAATTATTAATTATTTTAATATTTTTATAGTCATTAATTATTTTTTTAATTTTAATCATTCATTTTAAGATTGAAAATTATTTTTTATGGGAGATAATGCAAATTGAACTTAACATTTCCAAATAGTATGTTCTAGGGGTAAAATAGTAAAATCAATAAATTTTAGATGGTAAAAGGTTGATCTAACACAATCTTAGGGATTCAGAACCTCTAAAAAGTAAAAAAGCACATATGCTTCTTTTCAAATTTTAGATAATATATTTTTAACTTTTTAGATATGAAATTTTAGATTTATCAAACGCCACCTAAGTGTATCTGAATTTGGGTATGAAAATTATTTTCAGATCTGAAATAATAAGACTTGGGCCAGGTGCTGAACGCATTTAGATGTGTTTCAAACATGGCCGAAAGTCCAAAATACCCTTAAAAACATGCTTGTGTTTCTCCCTCTCACCGTTCATCTTCTCCACTTGATGCAACAGCGAACCAGCGGCAGCAAGTGACTCCTCCGATGAACTAGCGGTGGCGAGTTCCGACCTTCTCTCACTCTTTCTCTTCTTTCTTCTTTCTTCTTTCTTCTTAAGCAAGTGACTCCTTTGTTGCAACTCTTGCCACTACAACTCCTCCGCTGTCCATGGACGCCGTTGCAACTTTCACCGTCCACGGACTCCTTTTGCAAGTGACTCCGACGAACCAGCGACGACAAGTGTCTTAAGCAAGTGACTCCTCCGCTACAACTCTCGTTGCTGCAATTCTTGCTGTCCACTATTTTTTCTTATTTTAATAAATTATTTTTTATTTTTTTATAAATTATTCATATTTTTTTCAATATTATTTTGAATTTAATAAATTATTTTTATGAAATAGTATAAGTTGAACTCAAAATTACCGAATAGTCTAATTTATGGGTAAAATAGTAAAATTAGTGAATTTCAGATGTTGAAGGTTTGATCCAATACAAACAACCTTCTTTATTCAGAACTTCTAAAAAGTCAAAAAACAACTGTCTCTTTTTAGATTTCAAACACTTTTAATATCTTTTTAACTTTTTAGATTTATCAAATGCCACCTCAATATTCTTAATCTCATGGCAGCTCGAGATTTAAAGTAATCTGTCGTTTTCCTCTATTGAAATGAGGGTGGGGATTTATTGTAAGAGATAATCATGATCTGTAGAGATTTCTTCAGAGTAGAATTTTGAAAAATTCCACTACATGTTCTTTTATTTGGTATATATGTCTTCAGTGGCCACTGCTATTAATTTGAATTTTCCTGATTAAGGAGTAATTTCTTTCTACCTTCACCGACGAATGAAAAAATCTTGAGTTTTTATCTCCTTCCTTAAGCCAATTCTCTCTTGATTTTTGTTTAGAAAGAGTTCCTCCTGAAGAAGCATCTGATTAAGGTTTTCAATGATTCGTTTAAGAGCCAGCTGGTTATCCTTGGACTCATTAACCAAAAGGGCATTTTTTGCATCCAGAAGAACTTGCTCAGCATTTTCTACATTCACAAAAACATCACTGAACGCATCCTTGTTCCGGTTTTTAAGTCTTTGTTTGAGCAATTTAAGCTTAGAGGAGAGTATGTGGTTGCCATCAATATGGGTGTTCCAAACTTCCTCCACAACCTGTTTAAAATCTGGGTGGGTTGTCTTCATGGAAACGAAAGCGTTTTAGGACCTTGTAGGTAGGGGTGCTCATGGTTCGGTTTGGGTCATTTTTTGGAATCGAACCGATACTATCGGTTTTTGGAAAATCGGTAATTGGAACTAAATCAAGACCAGTCATTTAATCAGTTTGGTTCATCAATTTTTTGATTTTTAAATTTTTACAATATATATAAATATAAAATAAAAAATTATAAATACATATATCAAATATTATATTTTAAATAATAAATAATAAATAATAAATAATATGTTATAAACATATATTTATATATAATGCATATTTATTAATTTATAATGTATACAAAATATAAAGTATATATATATATATATATAATATACATAAATATTTATAAAATATATAGAAATATATATATACTGGTCAGGTCGGTTAACTGCCAGTTTTCTATATTGGTTAACCGAAACTGAACCGGTACCTTTGATTTTTTAAAAACATCAAACTGAAACCGAACCAACCGGTTTGATTAATTGATTTTTCGGTTTAGTTTCAATCGGTTTTTCGGTCGGTTCAGTTTTTCGGTTTTTTTCTCACTCGTACTTATAGGCAACCGTCTTCAATTGAGATTAAAAGGGGAATGATCCGAGGTTGCTCTGTCTAGGTGGTCCACTATTGTGTTTGAGAATTCATGCATCCATTGGATATTGATTAGAATTCGATCAAGTCTAGCCATTGGATCCACGATAACCTGGATCAATTAGTCCAGAAGTATTAATCATATCTGCGAAATCTCGCATAGATTGAATGTTGAGTCTAGTGCTTCCGTCTCTACTTGTTCACTACTGCTCACCGTGGCATTGAAGTAGTCTCCACCTACCATCCAAGGACTTGGTAAGGTAGAAGAACTTTTTTGATAACATTTGAATGTTTAAAGTAATAGATGAGGCTTGAGTATGTGGAAAGTGATATGTTGGGAAATTGGGCTTATTGAAACTTGGAAGAGAAGCTTTGAGGCGTGTCTGAAGACACTATTTTTAGAAAGTTATTTATTCCCCCACTCAGTTCTACTAACTTTGCTGTTTGGTTCAAGGTTCAAAGTATTGACACAGGTCAATACGTTAGTAGGGGGTATCGGCCTGTGTGCATTTGCTTGATTGCTTGTGTGTGTATTTTCTTGATCACGCTCCTTATATAATTTTTGAAGAGTCATGGAGTAGAGGAAGGTGCTGGTTCAGAAAAGGCTCCTTAAACAGTCATAATTTCAGGCATTGTGACCGTTAAAAATGTGGTTAATAGTTATTGACTATTAACTTTGCATAATACTTTTTGATTACACCTGATCGAATCGTGACCGTTGAAACATCAATGGTTAGTTTCACACCAAAAGATAAAGTGCGCCTCTAAAGTGTCTCATTGTGGTGCGTACACACGTGCATGCATTGTACAATAACAATCTTTCATACTCTCCTCTTTATTTCTAAGGAGTATAAATAAACTCCAATTTAAACATTCAAAACAAGTTTTATAATTTTTCAATGTAAAACAAGTTAAAAACTGATTTTAATAAGAGAAAAAACTATTTTCCAAAACATATATAAAAATACATTTTCTATATAATTGATCAATCAAACCGTATTAAATTTAATATCTCATAATATGATAAACTTTCATTAATTAAACCAATTAAAATGTGTATTTGTAATAAATTCATTATATGTTTATTTATTTTAACTAAGCAATTTTAGAAACATCGGATCGGACCATGCATCTTTACCTAAAGATTGACACATTCATGAACTTGTTCGGTTTCTATCACATATTGTCAGTTGGCAACTATTCCAGTCTGTTGTATTTCTACAAGACAAACATCGGATCCCACACATGGCTTCGACATCGTAGTGCAGTACTGTACATTCAATATCCTAATGTTATTTGTCACTTCGGGCGTGTTCGAATGTTTTGTCTTTATCACTTTTTTAATTTTTTATAATAATAAGGAAAAATGCTAGTTTCAGCAAAAAAAAAAAAAAGAGTATTTTTTGGATGGGTATTTTTATGAAAACAAAGTGGATTTTGTTTCCTGTTTATCAAAACCGTGTCAATTATACCCGAAAATCTATGATTCCACGGTTCCATCCGAAATTCGATTCAATATCTCGGATACAGATGAGTTTATGTAATCGGATCAGATTCAGAATTTTCAACTTATATCCGATTAATAATCCAATCGGATTTGAATTTGGCTCTACCCGATCCGATTATATTATGATAATTATAGATTTAAAAATATAAATTTTACATAATTATATTTAAATTTATATAAAATATATTTTATATGAATTTATATATATAATAAATCCAATATGTTATATTTACAGAGTTACATTAATTTATTAAATATAAAATTTGAAAAATAATCAACTTTTTATTTATTTTTGTACTTAAAAATTTAGAACAAAATTAGATTAAATCCAAATCTGATCTGAGTTCATTAAGATTTGAATTTGAATATGAGGTCTTAAAATCTGATCATATTTCGGATTGGATTCATCTACAAAATTTCAATTATCGGATCGAATTCCGATTTTGATGAATCTGATTCGAATCCTATTCGTTTAATCATGGTTTTTAAAACTGAATCGGTGACCGAACCGGTCAGGGGTCTGATTATCGGTTCGAACGGTCCGACCATTCGACCCAAACGGTCGGCCTATTTTGACAAAAAAATAAAAAAAATGAAAAACGATCAAAACCGTTCGAATGATTAACCGGCCAGTTCAACGGTTTACTGACCAAAATCAACGATTTTGAGGAAAAAAATTATTTTGGGGGAAAACAAAATGGGTGAGATGACCAATTCCCAGTTTTTCCGATCTGACCGTCCGGTCTGGTTTTAAAAACCATGCGTTTAGTTACAGTTTAATTGACAAGTGCTCGGTTTAAAGCCTCTATCAATTGATTACACCAATCCATTTTTTAACATTTAAATGAATTTGAGTCCAAATGAAAAGAAAAGAAAAACGGAAATTGTGACAAAGAAAAAACTTTTGGAAACTAATAATAGATGTAATTTGAAAGAAGAGGAGAGAGATGTGAATGGGAGGAGACAAGAGAGTTGAAAAGCTACTGATTTGTATTAATAGATTGTTTTTGAAGAGATGGGATATAATAGAAATAAGTACTGAAGAAATAATCCGTTTTTCTATCTTAAAAAGTTCATGAG